CAGGCGGAGAAAGACAAGTACCAAATGATTTCATATGTGGAGTATAAGAACAAAGGAAAACTGAAGGAACAAAACAGCAGCAGAATCACAGAACCCAAGAATGGACTAACAGTTACCAAAGGGAGAGGGACTGGGGACGATGGGTGGGAAGGGAGGGATAAGGGCAGGGAAAAAGAAAGAGGGCATTACGATTAGCATGTATAGTATGTGGGGGGCACGGGGAGGGCTATGCAACACAGAGAAGACAAGTAGTGATTTTACAGTATTTTACTACACAGATGGACAGTGACTGTGAAGGGGTATGTGGGGGGACTTGGTGAAGGGGGACCCTAGTAAACATAATGTTCTTCATGTAATTGTAGATTAATGATATCAAAAGAAAAAAGAAAAAAGAAAAAAGTGGAAAAAAAATGGCTTCTCAAAGCGAAAAAAAAAAAGGATGAGAAGTCATTTATGCAGCTTAGAAAAGAAAAATGCCTATTCCAAATTACACAGTAAGTGGCTGCACAGGCAAAATTTTATGAATTCCTTCCCCTGCAATCATGCTAATCTGGACTTTTCTGTTATTTCAAAGAAAACAATCAATTGGCCACAGTAGCATTTCAAAATCCAGTGCCAATTAACAGCACATAATATCTTTCCTTTCTTTATTTTTTTTTTTTTTACCATGAAAAGCCATAGTCTGAAGGAGTCGATCAGCCACCTCCTGTGGAAATACTCCAGGTTCCTGTAGGCACAACGTTCCATCTTGTCTTGCTGAACAGAACTTCTCAAGGTGAGTAGTCAGGAAATTCAAGCAGATATCAAGTAAGGAATACGGAGATGCCTCCTCCTTAGAGCCCAAGAAAAAACATAAAAGGAACACAAAACCCATTAGGTTAGCTACCAGAAAAGTATAGAACAAAACATTCATTTACTCACTCATTAAGAATTTTTATTCAGTATCTACCATATGCTAGAAGTGTTAGGCAGTGGAAATAAAACATGTGACCCATGTTCTCAAGAAGGAGGTGAAAAATATTTAAACAAATATTTATATAAAGTCTATTAAGTACTATATTGGATAGACTTATTGGATAGAATGTAAAACATTAACAGTCAAAGTAGGTCAGAGAAGACCTCAAAGGCACAGCAGGTTAATTTTCCTAAATTACCACCCATAACTCTCCCCTGCTCAAACCTTCAATTGACTTCCAAGGGCCTTAAGACAAAAGACAAAATTCTGAAATTGTTAGATTAATACCTAAGTCCTCCCAGAATCTAGCCCTAATTTACTTTCCAACTTCATCTCCCCCACAATTTCCATCTGAACCTGATAGTTCAAATATGATAAGTATATTTGGGTAAAAGAATTTACTATAGCTGTTAGCAACTTCAAAATATAAAAAGATTGCCCCAAATATTCCAGTGTGAGGGATGAAAAAATAATCAAATAAGCACAAAGATTTAAGTGTCAGGGTTTTATAGGAATAAATACTCTAAATGTCCCCAACAAAACAATTAAAATATAACTATAGTCGCTACCATCCATTACATGCTGCCTAAGTGACTATGCTGTTTTATATGAATTATCTACCATTTCATTTATTCCTCAATCTTATTTTTATTATTATTATTTTTTATTTTATCATTAAACTACAATTACATGAAGAACATTATGTTTACTAGGCTCTCCCCTATACCAAGTCCCCCCCACAAACACCATTCCAGTCAATGTCCATCACCGAAGATGTTGTAGAATCACTACTTGTCTTCTCTGTGTTGCACAGCCATCCCCTTTCCTCCCCCCCACATTGCACATGCTAATCGTAATATACCCTTTCTTCTTCCCCACCCTTATCCCTCTCTTCCCTCCCATTCTCCCCAGTCCCTTTCCCTTTGGTAACTGTTAGTCCATTCTTGGGTTCTGCAATTCTGCTGCTGTTTTGTTCCTTCAGTTTTTCTTTGTTCTTATACTCCACATATGAGTGAAATCATTTGGTATTTGTCTTTTTCTGCTTGGTTTATTTCACTGAGCGTAATACCCTCTAGCTCCATCCATGCTGTTGTGAATGGTACAATCTGTTTTCTTCTTATCGCTGAATAATATTCCATTGTGTATAAGTACCACATCTTCTTTATCCATTCATCTACTGATGGACACTTAGGTTGCTTCCATATCTTGGATATTGTAAATAGTGCAGCAATAAACATAGGGGTGCATTTGTCTTTTTCAACCTGGAGTGCTGCATTCTTAGGGTAAATTCCTAGAAGTGTAATTCTTCGGTCAAATGGTATTTCTATTTTCAGCATTCTGAGGAACCTCAATACTGCTTTCCACAATGGTTGAACTAATTTACATTACCACCAGCAATGTAGGAGGGTTCCCCTTTCTCCACAACCTTGCGAACATTTGTTGCTCTTTGTCATTTTGATGATGGCTTTCCTTACTGGTGTGAGGTGATATGTCATTGTGGTTTTAATTTGCATTTCTCTGATGATTAGCGATGTGGAGCATCTTTTCATGCGTATGCTGGCCATCTGAATTTCTTCTTTGGAGAACTGTCTGCTCATCTCCTCTGCCCATTCTTTAATTGGATTATTTGTTTTTTGTTTGTTGAGGTGCGTGAGCTCTTTATATATTTTGTATGTCAAGCCTTTATCGGATCTGTCATTTATGAATATATTCTCCCATACTGTAGGGTACTTTTTTGTTCTATTGATGGTGTCCTTTGCTGTACAGAAGCTTTTCAGCTTGATATAGTCCCACTTGTTCATTTTTGCTTTGGTTTCCCTTGCCCGGGGAGATATGTTCATGAAGAAGTCACTCATGCTTCTGTCCAAGAGATTTTCGCATATGTTTTTTTCTAAGAGTTTTATGGTTTCATCAATTACATTCAGGTCTTTGATCCACTTCAAATTTACTTTTGTGTATGGGGTTAGACAGTGATCCAGTTTCATTCTCTTACATGTATCTGTCCAGTTCTGCCAGCACCATCTGTTGAAGAGACTGTCATTTCCCCATTGTATGTCCATGGCTCCTTTATCATATATTAATTGACCATATATGTTTCAGTTAATGTCTAGAGTCTCTGTTCTGTTCCACTGGTCTGTGGCTCTGTTTTTGTGCCAGTACCAAGCTGTCTTGATTACTGTGGCTTTGTTGTAGAGCTTGAAGTTGGGGAGCAAGATCCCTCCCC